AACCGAAAGAAAGAGGGAGAGGAAAGAGTGAGAGAAAGAGAGGGAAAGAGAGAAAGAGACGGAGAGGAAAGAGAAAGGGAGAGAAAGAGAGGAAAGAGAAAGGGAGAGGAAAGAGAGGAAAGAGAAAAAGGGAGAGGAGAGAGAGAGAGAACTCATGCACAGCAACCTCTATTTCTTTTTAATTAAACTCTTCAATCAAGCTTCCCACCCCTTGCATGCGCGCACATGCACGTGCATGTTTTGCAGCTCCCCGTGTTTTCTTTTGTCTGGGAAACGAGTCCAAGTGGCTCTTTGAGTGTTTAAGGTTGCCGACCCCTGGTATAGGGGGTACCTTGCTCAAGAGTAGTAACTGTGAGAGGGACCTCGGAGGCCTAGTGGACAATCCCTTAAATATGAGCCAGCCGTGTGCTGCAGCTGCCAGAAAGGCCAACACAGTGCTAGGCTGCATCGACAGAGGGATAGAATCAAGATCAGGTAAAGCGTTACTACCACTTTACAAGGCCTTGGTAAGGCCACCCTTGGAATACGGCATCCAGTTTTGGTCCCCATGATGTAACAAAGATGTTGAGACTCTAGAAAGAGTACAGAGAAGAGCAACAAAGATGATCAGGGGACCGGAGGCTAAAGCATATAAGGAACGGTTGCTGGAATTGGGTCTGTCTAGTTTAATGAAGAGAAGGACGAGGGGGGACAGGATAGCAGTCTTCCAATATCTCAGGGGCTGCCCCAAAGAAGAGGGAGTCAAGCTATTCTCCAAAGCGCCTGAAGGCAGGACGAGAAACAACGGATGGAAACTAATCAAGGAGAGAAGCAACCTGGAACTAAGGAGAAACTTCCTGACAGAACAATTAACCAGTGGAACAACCTGCCTCCAGAAGCGGTGAATGCTCCAACACTGGAGGTTTTTAAGAAGAGACTGGACAGCCATTTGTCTGAAACGGTATATAGGGTTTCCTGCCTGAGCAGGGGGTTGGACTAGATGACCTCCAAGGTCCCTCCCATCATCATCGTCATTATTATTATTATTATTAAGAGACTGGACAGCCATTTTCTGAAATGGTATAGGGTTTCCTGCCTGAGCAGGGGGTTGGACTAGATGACCTCCAAGGTCCCTCCCAACTTTATTATTATTATTATTATTATTATTATTATTATTATTATTATTATTATTATTATTATTATTATTATTATTATTATTATTATTAAGAGACTGGACAGCCATTTGTCCGAAATGGTATATAGGGTTTCCTGATTGAACAGGGGGTTGGACTAGATGACCTCCAAGGTCCCTCCCATCATCTTCATCATCATTATTATTATTATTAAGAGACTGGACAGCCATTTGTCCGAAATAGTATAGGGTTTCCTGCCTGAGCAGGGGGTTGGACTAGATGACCTCCGAGGTCCCTCCCAACTTTATTACTATCATCATCATTATCATTACTATTATTATTATTATTATTATTATTATTAAGAGACTGGACAGCCATTTGTCCGAAATAGTATAGGGTTTCCTGCCTGAGCAGGGGGTTGGTCTAGATGCCCTCCAAGGTCCCTTCCAACTTTATTACTATCATCATCATCATCATCATTACTGTTATTATTATTATTATTATTATTATTATTATTATGGATCATCGCACAGTCAGCCAGATGTTCAGACTGGATTTGGCATTTTGTGTACCTATCGAGTCCTTACCCAGGACCTGGGATAGGCAGATGTGGATGTTTGATGGTATTACTATTATTATTATTACTATTATTATTATTACTATTATTATTATTATTATTATTATTATTATTATTATTATTATTAAGAGACTGGACAGCCATTTGTCCGAAATAGTATAGGGTTTCCTGCCTGAGCAGGGGGTTGGACTAAATGACCTCCAAGGTCCCTTCCAACTTTATTGTTGTTGTTGTTGTTATTATTATTATTATTATTATTATTATTATTATTATTATCATTATTATCATTATTATTATTATTATTATTATTATTATTATTATTATTATTATTATTATTATTATTATTATTATTATTATTATTATAGAAAACCTCTCCTCAGAGCAAAAAGACCATAGAGTATATATACTGTCCCAAATTGACAAACACTGCCACCTACTGGCTGAATCCTTCGAGACCCGATTTTCTTTTTTATTCGTTTTATACTGCAAAATACAAACATACAAAAGCAAACATTAGGAAAAAGAGGGGAGAGAAAGGGAAGGGAAAGGAAAAGTTTACAGCAAGGAAAACAGACCCAGTCTTTTTTTAAACAACAACAACAACAACAGAGGCCTAGAATCAAGATCCCGCTTCGCAAAGCCCTAGCGAGACCTCACACCCGGAATCCCGCAGCCAGTTTGGGTCCCCACATCACAAAAAAGATGTCGAGAGTTTGGGAAAAAGTTCAGAGAAGAGCAACTAAGAGGATCCAAGGCCTGGAGACTAAAACATACGAAGAACGGCTGCGGGACGTGGGTTTGGCTAGTCTAGAGAAAAGAAGAAAGAGGGGAGACATGATAGCGGCGTTCCGGTATTTGGGGGGCTGCCACAAATACTTTTGCCTAGAGAAATTGTGGACGCGCCATCACTGGGGGTTTTTAAGAAGAGGCTGGACAGTCACTTGTCTGAGATGGTGTGGGTTCTCCTGCTCGAGCGGGGGGCTGGACTAGATGACCTCCGAGGTCCCTTCTATTCTATTCTATTCTATTCTATTCTATTCTATTCTATTCTATTCTTATTATTTCTTATTTCTTATTCTATTCTATTATTTCTTACTCTATTCTATTCTATTCTATTCTTATTTCCTATTTCCTATTCCTTATTCTATTCTTACTTCTTATTCTATTCTATTCTATTCTATTCTATTCTATTCTATTCTATTCTTATTTCTTATTCTATTCTGTTCTGTTTTGTTCTACTCCTTATTCTATTCTATTCTTCATTTATTTCTTATTCTATCCTATTATTATTTCTTATTTTATTCTGTTCTGTTCTGTTCTACTATTTATTCTATTCCTATTCTATTCTACTCCTTATTCTATTCTATTCTATTCTTCATTTATTTCTTATTCTATCCTATTCTTATTTCTTATTTTATTCTGTTCTGTTATGTTCTACTATTTATTCTATTCCTATTCTATTCTACTCATTCTATTCTATTCTATTCTTCATTTATTTCTTATTCTATCCTATTCTTATTTCTTATTTTATTCTGTTCTGTTATGTTCTACTATTTATTCTATTCTATTCTATTCTATTCTATTCTATTCTATTCTATTCTATTCTATTCTATTCTTTCATTTGTTATTTCTTATTCTATCCTATTCTTATTTCTTATTTTATTCTGTTCTCTTCTACCCTTATTCTATTCCTATTCTATTCTATATTCCATATTCTATTCTATTCTATTCTATTCTATTCTATTCTATTCTATTCTATTCTATTATTCTATTCTATTCTATTCTATTCTATTCTATTCTACTCTACTCTACTCTACTCTACTCTACTCTACTCTACTCTACTCTATTCTATTCACACCCACCGATGGGCTGACTCCAAATTCAGGCAGCCTGAGTTTGGGTGTAGTTGAGAGGGGGGGAAAAAGCCTACTCAGTCCTTGGCTGCATCCACAGAGGGATAACAACATTGAGGTCACGTGGAGCGTTAGTAGCGCATTGTACGGCTTCGGTGAGACCATAGGTCCCTTCCGCCTCTGTGATTCTGTCATTCCGTAAGGCTCTCCCCTCTGAGCAGGGGGTTGGACTGGATGACCTCCGAGGTCCCTTCCAGCTCTGTCATTCGGTAATGCCAAACCCAGTCTGAACATCTGGCTGACTGTGCAATGATCCATAATAACAACAACAACAACAACAACAACAACAACAATAATAATAATAATAATAATAATAATAATAATAATAATAATAAAGTTGGAAGGGACCTTGGAGGTCATCTAATCCAACCCCCTGCTCAAGCCAGAGACACAGAATCATAGCATAACAGAGTTGGAAGGGATCTCAGAGGTAACTACAAACAACGACGATGACGACGACGATGATGATGATGATGATGATGATGATGTTGGAAGGGACCTCGGAGGTCATCCAATCCAACCTCCTGCTGAAGCAGGAGACCCTTACAGAATAACAGAGTTGGGAGGGACCTTGGAGGTCATCTAGTCCAACCCCCTGCTCAATTCGGAGACCCTTACAGAATCATAGGGTAACAGAATTGGAAGGAGCCTCAGAGGTAATAATAATAATAATAATAATAATAATAATAATAATAATAATAATAACAACAACAACAATAATGATAATAATAATAATAATAATAATAATAATGATAATGATGATAATGATGATGATGATGATGTTGGAGGGGACCTCGGAGGTCATCTACTCCAACCCCCTGCTCAGGCAGGAAACCCTACACCATGTCAGACAAATGGCCGTCCAGTCTCTTCTTCAAAACTTCCAGTGAGTCGGAAGGGACCTCGGAGGTCTTCTAGTCCAACCCCCCTTGCTCAAGCAGGAAACCCTCACAGAAATACAGAGCTGGCTAAGGCGGGACTAGAACTCGCTGTCTCCTGGCGATTGGCCCAAAGTCGGCTTTCATTCCCTAAGGCGGGACTAGAGCCCTGTGGGCGGGGCCTCTGCAGGCTCCTCCTCCTCCCCTCGGAACCAACTGCCACTGCCGGAGACTTGAAGCCCCCGTCCCTTCCAGCAATGGGCCGGAGGAGAGAGTAAACGCCCCCTCCCTCGCCGGGAAGCAGACCCCAACCCTAAGCCTCCGAGACCCCCACCCCGGGGGGAGATCGGGGTCCTTGCCCCCTTCTGCTCTTCCCCAAGGGGGGGGCTAGAGGGCGTCTCCTAAGCCCCCCCACTCAGTTACCTGCCCGAGTTCACCCATTGGGCCATTTCAGCCCGGCTCTCTGCAGGACCCCCCGGGACCCCCCCCCGAAATGGCCGAGCTGTGCCCCCAGCCTCAAATGGAGCCCCAGGAGAGCATTTACCACTGGCTGCCTGCCGGGGAGGAGGAGCCCGCCAAGCCCCCGCTCAGGTAGGGGAGGTCATCTAGTCCAACCCCCTGGTTCCGCCATCTTGAGGGTCCGTGGGGGCGGGTTTGGGACCCGGGGAGGGGTCTTCAGCCTCCCGAGTGTACGGGTCCCAGCAAGGTCCCGGGAGCCGGAAATCCGGAGAGGGCTAGTTCCCAAGGCGCTGACACGGGGGTCCACCCAGCTGGCTTTCAAGCCTAAGGCGGGACTAGAACTCACCGTCGCCTGGCGATTGGCCCAAAGTCACCCAACCGGCTTTCCTGCCTAAGGCGGGACTAGAACTCACCGTCTCCTGGTGATTGGCCCAACGTCACCCAGCCGGCTTTGATGCTTAAGACGGGACTAGAACTCACCGTCGCCTGGCGATTGGCCCAAATGTCACCCAGCTGGCTTTCATGCCTAAGGCGGGACTAGAACTCACCGTCTCCTGGTGATTGGCCCAACGTCACCCAGCCGGCTTTGATGCTTAAGACGGGACTAGAACTCACTGTCGCCTGGTGATTGGCCCAAATGTCAGCCAGCCGGCTTTCACGCCTAAGGCGGGACTAGAACTCACCGTCGCCTGATGATTGGGACAAAGTCACCCAGCTGGCTTTCAAGCCTAAGGCAGGACTAGAACTCACCGTCACCTGGCGATTGGCCCAAATGTCAGCCAGCCGGCTTTCACGCCTAAGGCGGGACTAGAACTCACCGTCGCCTGGCGATTGGGACAAAGTCACCCAGCTGGCTTTCGTGCCTAAGGCGGGACTAGAACTCACCGTCTCCTGGCGATTGGCCCAAATGTCAGCCAGCCGGCTTTCACGCCTAAGGCGGGACTAGAACTCACCGTCGCCTG